AGAATATCCCAAAAAGAAAAAAAAAAACAGAAAATGTACACACACACAAATGTACAGTTTGAACATTTGTATGTAAAATTGTGTTTGCACGCGATGGTTTGGTTGGCAAAAAAAAAAAAAAAAAAAAGAAAAAAAAACAAAAGAAGAAGTGTTAGAGTTGCCATCACAATAATGTGTTGAATTACACAATGGGGATTTTAGTAATACAGCGAGGAGCAATGAAAGAAGTTTGTAGAAAAAGATTTTCAAACGATAAACTAGCACATGGTCTGTTCCAGAACCTGCAAGAATCTACTAGAAAAGAGAAATCGGAAGAAGATCGGTTATGGTAAAAAATTGTATATTCTTTCAGTTCTACAACAGACCAATGTACGGCACAAGATAACCTCGTACAAGCAGTGCCCTGTTCCAGAATCTACAAAAATCTACTACCTTTGATTTTTTTTATATTATAAAGGACAAATTGGTTATCGCTGTAACGTCCCAAAGATGGGAATCAATTTTATATTGTCTAAATTGTTTTTTTTAACATACTCCAAAAGATGATTCCGGACTTTAGTTTCCTGCGCCTACTTTTTATGAATCTTGGTGTGTTTTCAATACCAATTTGCCCCTCCCGGATGCTAACTGCCCCAACTGTACTATAGCGCTGTTCCTTTTATTAAGAATTATAAAATTTGAGCTACCTGGCCACACATCGAATTTCCTTGGCGAGTTTATAAGCAATTGATTTGTTCTAGAACTTGTAAGAATCTACCAGTTTTGCATTTTACGTTTCTATTGGAAAAATATTTAATTTTATAAAATGTTAGCTATTGTTTATTTCAAAAATTTGTATTCAAATTATGTCAATTGCAATTTCCCAGATTATATAGCAGCGGTTGTGAAGTGGGTTATACACCATCGAACTAAACACAATTTTCTCTCCAAATACTACGAGATTTAATTATTTATCCAGAATATTCAGGCATATTAGGCAAGTTTAATTGAGACCATATTTTATGATTCTCTTATGAACCGACTTCTTCTTTCTATTTATACAAGGTTTTTCGTTTTCAGAGATGTTCGCTTTTCATTATTGCCTTATTTTTGTCTTATTATTGACATAATTTCTACTTATGAATAAAAATAGCAATGCCGTGAAATAAATCTTAGGTGAGGTATACACTAACGAGATACCATATGTTTTATTTTACGCCGTCAAAAAGAGTTAACATTTACGTCGATGTTTAAGACTGTTTGGGATGCTTTTATTTTAATTTAAAAAAAAACACAATTTTTTTTCGAAAAAAAAAAATATCGAAAATATCTTTTTTCTAGCTTTTGTACAACAAAATAATGACAAAAAAATTTTCGGAAAAAATGCAACTAAATATCACCCGAAATTTAAAAAATTCTTTTTGATAAAAAAAAAATCTGAAATCATCCCAGAATAAATAACCGTTAACTCCGTATACATTTAGAATTTTTCTAAGACAATGGTTATATTATCCGGCTACGAGGAGGACTTTAGGAAACCCTATTCTTGTCCAACAAAATAACCCCGAGAAGACCTACATTTTTTTTGCAATAGAAATTGGACTCAAAATCACCGAAAATTTATTAAGTTATTTTGATAAATATTTATGATACTATTGCCAGAAAAAACTACCGTTTATGCCTTTAGATTTAGAAGTTTTTTTTTTTGAAAAAGGGTAATATTATTCCGTTACGATGGGAACTTTAATAAAACCTATTCTATTATAAAATTCTTTTGGATAAATATTTCTGAAATTATTGCCAGAACAAAAAATCGTTAAAGATTCAGAAGTTTTCTAAAAAAAGGTCATGATGAGAACTTAAAAAAAAAAAAACTATTCATAGAATTAATCAGAAAAATCTGTAGTTGCAAAATGCTCTGTTCCAGAACTGCTTTTATCTTTATGATATCAAACAAGTAAAATAGCTGTAAGTTCGGCCGGGCCGATCTTTAAAATCACTCCACCATTTGGCACGATTTTGGCAATTTTCAAAAACAATAAAATCCGTTAAAATCATAAAAATACCGAATGTAGCTGTTATATTAGGGTCTATACGATGACTTACTTACAAAAAAAATTGGTAATTATTTAGCTAAAATCATCAAAATACCGAATATCGGGAGTTGCCGTTATTTGGGGGCTATACGAAAACGATGTGCACAGACAAAATTTCTGTCACAGGCTGTAGTATCCATTACAAACTTCAAATACCAAATTTGAAACAATTCCGATGAATATTGTCGAAAAAATCATCAAAATATCGAATATCGGGAGGTACCGTTATATGGGGGCTATACGAAAACGTGGACCTACATGGCCCATTTTCAATACCATGTCCTGCAGACATAACATACATTTGAGTAATGTGGCGTTTCCACTGCACTTGATTCGCTCTCTATTCGTTGTTTGACCCTTAACTATGAAAAAACTACTTAATTCTTCACACAAAATTTCCTGAGCGAACAATCATATTTGTACATTGTTCAAATCAAATCACTCTCAGAACAACGAAAAAATATGTCCCATCCCTAACAAATGAGAGCATTTATCGAAAAAATTAATTATGACATTTAAAAATTGAAAATAGAAAAATTTAATGAAATTTTGAAAAATTTTGGGAAGACTGAAATTTATGAATGAAAACTACAATGTAGAATAGCGTATGTACATTCAAACGAAAGTAAATTTTGTTTTCTCTCTCATCCGAGGTACGCATTTTGTCCACGAGTTGAAATTACCACAGAAAACAGGAAACAAAAGAGGCAATATTTTCAAAATGTTTGTATGGGCAGAAAAAATGTTTGACAAGTGTCTCTCAAACAGAATTTAAAAATAGAAAAATACAAAAATATGTTCAAAATGTCAACATTTACACAAAAAGTTGGAAACGTGAATGAAAATTATAAAATTAATGTTTTAATAAATCTTTGGGAGAAAAATAATCATTTCTTCTATCCATATTAGTGAGAATTAAATGTATTTTAGTATAAATTCCCATTAAAATCAACAAACAAAATTTTGAAAAAAAGGAATTATTTTACTATGAATTACGAATCGTGCCGTATGAACGGGTTAATTCGTGTACCCAATTCTGAGAGCGAACAACGTTGTTCGGTTTCCAATGGAAACGTGCTATAACATGTTATTAATATACTTCAATTCGTTCGGAAGCTAGAGTGATTTCCACAGACGGACAGACGGACGGACCTGGCTAAATCGACATAGAATTTCATGCTGATCCAGAATATATATACTTTGTGGGGTCTAAAATAAATCCATACTATGGTGGTGGAGGGTATAATTACTAAAATTTGTAAAAATGGTTGAAAAAGGCATATTATAACCTCCGGTTTGCGTCGTATAAGAAAAAATATAAAAACCTACTTATTGTTCACAAAGCATTTTAAAATTTTGACAAATCAATGTTCTCAAGCATTGATGCATCTACCTGTATTCATCTGCCATGATTACAACTAATAATTTCTTATTAACTAAAACGAGTATTTAAGTTTTTAAATGGTCTGTTCCAGAACTTTTTGAAACTGTTTACTACGATAATCGATTTTCCCTTTATGATATCGAAAAAAAAAATGCAGAACATGTAGATTCTTGAAGATTCTGGAACAGAGCAAAAATTTTTCATTTGACATTTTTAAAATCATCGTTTGTCAATTAATGAGGATCAACTGTCAATTAAAACCGTTTGAGTTTCTTATTCTGTCATGATTTATGCATCAATTATTTTAGATCTAATTTCAACTAAATTTTTGTTTTAAAATTATTAAATAATTTGATGCAGGAAAGTTATTTTAAAAATCTCTTAAGAATTTCTCTCTCATTATTTTGCCTATCTCTGTTATAAAGTATGGTACACACTACCTAACATGACAACAATTCAGTTTTATTTTGTTTGGATAAAAATAAGACTAACAATAACATAGAAAAAAAAAACATCCATTTTGGCAGTAACCAGGAAAGTTGGGTTTTGGTTTTTGAATGTTAGCAAATATTTTGTTAAAATTACAGAATTTTTCAAAATTCTTGTCACAAAACTCCTCAAGGTTAATTTCATAATTTTTAATAATAGCACCATAGTTGTTTAATGTTCAAGTAGTTATCTTAAGTTAAAAAATGTCGTTTATCTTTATTTTGCAACCACAGCCGTTTAAATGCGTGAAACATTTCAAGGAAAAAAAAAACGCGCAAATGGCATCACTTTTTATCATTGGTGTATTTTTCGGAGTTAATATCATCAAACCTCTGGTTTTTTTTAATTACGCGCAAAACAAATTATAACGGTTCTGAAATATAGTTTATGTTCATCATGTCACTGGAGCTCCACATTAGTTTTATAAATTCAGAAAAAAAATCAAGTTCACTCATGTTTTTGTTCATATCACATAGGTATTTTTTGTTTTCAATTTGTTTAAAACGTTTAGTTTTTAACATTTCCATTGGTATCTTGTTGTTATTTGTTATTGTCACAAGAATTTCACAACTTGTCTTGTGCATGGTTTTTTGGTAATCCGAAAAATAATATTTTGCTGATCATCTGAAAAATAAAGTAACACAACCACCAACCTTCTACAAAAACGCGCGACGGTTTTGTGGGTTTTTCACTTTTCAACACAAGTTTTCTTTGCCATATATATTTTTTTTCTTGTTTCAATACAAAATGTGGTTTTGAAATCACCAAAAAATGCTTAAGAATATTATTTTTTCATGTGTTTTTGTTGTTGTTTTTTCTTTTTAATTTTGTTTAAACTTTAATCCATGTTCAGCTGTGTGTGAGCTGCCAGTCAGTCAACCAACCAGCCAGCCAGCAAAAGAACCAGAAATGACGATGACGACAAAACAACGATGTTATCGCTTAGAACTTAAGCAAAAATTAAAAATAAACTTTCTCATATTTCTTCTTAATGCACATTTTATTAATTTGTTTTTTATTTTCATTAAAAAAAATACTAAACTATAATTTACCTTTTTCCTGGTAATTGATTTTTTTTGTTATCTTGTTTCACAAAATTTGATTGTGCTTCAAAATTTTTTGTTTGCTTGTTATTAACAATTTTTTTTTGCGATGCTTCACAATGTGGGTTTTGTTGGTTTTATCGAGAAAAAGCCTTGTTGGTTGGATTTTCATCAAATACTTTTCTTTGTATTTTCTGCTATGTTTTTCCTTTGAATAATTTTTGTTTTGTGTTAACTTTTTCAATTTTTAATATTTTGTAAATGATTTTTTCGTTTTTTTTTTTTTTTTTTGCTTAAAAAGTGTTATTTTTTCCAAGGGGTGACGCCGATTAAACAACAAAAAAAAGAGTAAAACTACAAATTCAACGGACAACGGGCGTACAAACGAAATATACGCGCGACGACGACGAAGAACGACAACAGAATGATATAGAAAATGGTAAAATTTTGTTGTAGACATCGAAAACCAGAGTCTCACAAAACCAAGCAAGCCCAAGCAGACGCAAAACACACACACGCACACACAGAGGCAGAGAACACAACCCAGAAAGGCACGCTCACACATACCAGCTCAGCGAAAACCAAGCAAGCCAGCAAAACACACAAAAAAGGCGGCAGCGCAACATCAACAGCGGACATTTTTCACAAGAAGAGAACATGAAGAGAATTAACAACAACAACAACATCAGCAGCAGCACTGAACAACAAGAACCCAACCATATACATATGTACGTATGTATTTGCCTGTGTTCATGTGCTGCGGCTGCTGCTACATTGGCATGACAAAAGAAAAAAACCTACAACAACAATTTACAAAATAAAACAACCAAGAACGTTACTATACTTAACAACAAATCAACACAACAAAGAAAAGCGGCAATTCCAGGCAAAAAAAAATACCAAATAAAATCAACAAGAAGTAAATAATAATAATAACAACAACAGCAGCAGCAGCCTCAGCAAGAATACAGGCAGAGAGAGAGGGAGAGCGAGAGCATACATGTGTTAGTTTGAAAGAGCATCGCAACAGAGCCAATGCTTATTTCACTCGTACTCTCTGAACATAAACAAAAACAAACGCCAAGAATCTTTGCACAATAATAACAAGAACTAATAAGAGTGTTGCCCATAATGCGGTTTTTAAAGGAGTAATAGCTGTTTTTAATACAGCCATTCTTTGGGGGAATTTAATGCGTAAATGAAATTAAATATAAACAAATATACCCATGTTAATGACACAAGAAATGCGTGGCACAAATAAAAAGAGCAATTTTGTGTCCTTTTAAGTAGCTACTGACAAAAATCACGTTAAAATGAAAGTAAACTATTGATATGTTCAAGAACCTACAAGAATCTACTAGTTTTGTACATTTTTCAATATCATAAAGTGAAAAAAAAAACACGAAAAAAATTGAAAAATATCAAAAAAAAAATCTTTAAATTTATGGTCTGTTCCAGAACTGAAAAAATTTAAAAGTTTTTACAAACAAGTTTTATGCAATCGAAAAAATTGCAAAACTAGAATCGTTTTTAAATTTTTGTATTGATGACTTGAGGTACATTTATCCACGGAACCAGAACATTCTCTCTCTATATTCCACCTTTTCTTAAAGCCCCAAATAACGGTTCCTCCCGATATTCAATATTTTGACGATTTAAGCAACATTTTCAAATATAATTCTTTAGCAGGTTTTACCACCACTTGGAGAACACTGTCTATATAGATTCACGTTCTCGTATAGCCCCGGTGTTTCGGTATTTTGACGATTTAAGTCAAATTTTCTAATGGAATTGTTAAATGTCGCTGCTTAGATTTCGCAATAACAAAATAATATGCTGCTGCAATAAGCATATTATTTCTTATATCGCTCATAAAGCGGAACCTCCGAATATTTGTTATTTTTGCGTTTTTAGCCACATTTTTATACCCTCCACCATAGCATGGAGGGTATATTAAGTTTGTTATTGCGCTTGTAACACCTCGATTTATACATTTTAGACCCCATAAAATTCTTGATCAGCATAAAATGTCGATTTATCGATGTCCGTCCGTCTCTCCCTCTGTGAAAACCATTCTAGCTTCCGAACGAAACGAAGTAGGTTGATAAAATTTTACTCAAATGTATATAATGTCTGCAGGACTTTTGGTATTGAAAATGGGCCTTGTAGGTCCACGTTTTGGTATAGTCCTCATATAAAAACAGCTCCCGATATTCTGTATTTTGATCTTTTTAACGACATTATTCACCGAAAATGTTTCAAATTTCGTATTTGAAGTTCGTAATGGATACTACAGCCTAAGACAGAAAATTGTCCGTGTTGGTCCACGTCTTCGTATAGCCCCCATATAACGGAAACTCCCGATATTCGGTAGTTTGACGATTTTAGCGACCTTATTCCCCCGAAATGATTACAATTTGGTTCGTAATGGATACTACAGCCTATGACAGGAAATTGTCTGTGCAGGTCCAAGTTATGATATGGCCCCCATATAACAGTACCTCCCGATATTCGGTAGTTTGATGGATTTAGTGACATTATTTACCGGAATGATTTAAAATTTGGAATTTGAAGTTTGTAATGGAAACTACAGCCTATGACAGAAAATTGTCAGTGCAGGTCCAAGTTATGGTATAGCCCCCATATAACGGTACTTTGATGATTTAACGACATTATTTACCGCAACTGTTTCAAAATTGGTATTTGAAGTTCGTAATGGATATTACAAACTATGACAGAAAATTTTCTGTGCAGGTCCACGTTTTGGTATAGCCTCCATATAAGGGTACCTCCCGATATTCGGCATTTTGATGATTCTAGCTACATTATTCACCGATTTTTTTAGTTTCGCATTAGAAAATGATAAAAGTTGTCCATGCAGGTCCACGACGTCGTATAGACCCTAATATAACGGCTACATTCGGTATTTTTAAAATTTGAAGAGAATTTTTAAGGGATTTTATTTTTTTTTTGAAAATTGCCAAATTCTTTCCAAATTGTGGAGGACATTCAAAGTTCGGCCCGACCGAACCTAACCTTTTTTAACTTATTATTCATCGTAATAGAGAAACTTCAACAAAATGTTCAGAGAGGGTAAAATGTACCACCACCTCGTTAGTTAAAAAGCTTAATAAGCTGCAAAAAAATTCAAAACGAAGCTTCCATCTATGGTACAATAAGGAGGTAGAGCAGCTTGGTAAGCTTGCAGCTTGCTTCCAGTCAGAATTATTCAAAATTATTAACAACAAGTTGTTTAAATTCATTTGATATTTTTTGCTCCTTTCTAAAATGAGTCAAATAGCGCGAGAGATGAAAAAAATGCCCGGATGTTCTCTCAAAAGTATGATCCTAATTGTTTAATCTTTCAATTCCATGGCAAATCTGGTTAATATCATTAATGTGCGCACCGCTATTTAAGTTTCTTCCAATCGTTGATTTTGGAAATATTTTTTTTTTATTTTTTTGAACCAACAAATACATACACAAAATTAGCAGAAGTCGGGCGCACTTAGAATAAAATTGTAATCAGCTGGGATCTCCTCCTTACCTCTTTATTGCACCATGGTTCAATGTTTGAGTTATTTTGCTCACCGACTTTGGAGATACCACTTTGAGAAACTTGCGTTTAGACTTTTATTTTTCATCGGATGAATTAATAGAGCTGAATTAATGCGCCTTTTTATGTTGCTATTAAGTCGAACCAGATTAATTAAATAATATTTAATCTCTTCAAAAATATTTTTTGTTTCCATTTCCTAGCAAAGATTGCCATTGTCATAAATAATATACTTTAACACAAAAAAAACGCTAAATAGACATCACTAAAAATAGAAAGAGAGTAGATAACGTTCTCTACAAAAGGAAAAAGCGGGATTGCTTACTGTCATTTATTTTACATAGGTGTATGGTTGTGATGCCAATGACAATGACAACAACAAAAATAAAAGGCCCAAAGGAAATTCGAGGTAGTTCAACGATATTGGTAGCGAAAACTATTATTTCAGGTTGGTAATTTTTGTTGCACATACATATCTCCCTAATCAGTGTGTGTGTGTGCGTGTGTGCAATGTATTGATGGATGGATGACTGGTTTGATGATGCCTTTTGGGAACCTTAAGAACAAAGAAGAAGAAAAATTGTTAAAAAGAATCCAATAAAATTTTTACCTGCCACCATCTACCACCATCCTGCTGTTGATCGTCAATCAAGTTTTTGTAGAACATCATGGGCATAGCATCAAACATGGCATTGGTGGCCTGGCTTGGCCTGCCATTAAATTGCAGAGATCATTAACGAGACCAGCAACAACAAAAAACAAGATAATGAAGAAAGGAGAAGAAGAAAATACATAACAAGAATCCACAAGAAAGTGTATTGATCGAAAATCATCAGTCATTTTTAAGCCATGGCTGTGAAAAAAGGTAAGAGATTTAAAGATTTGTACAAAAAAAGAATACCAATAACAACAACAAAATCTTATCATCACCTCAAGGCTTTTTTAAACCCTAGATTTTTGTTGTTTGTATTTTATGCAGCCAGACGTCCGTCAGGAAAGGGAGGTGGGAGCGGAAGACTAACAACCATGAGAACAGTGAGTTATGTACACACACACACACGCGAGAGAGTTTAATTGTATGCATGTATTTGTGATTCGATGACTCAGTTGGATTTTATAAATCCCTTTGCTGCCAGCAGCAGGCAGTAGCAGTAGCTAGCCCTGTCCCGGGTTAAAAATTAAATGAAGGGGTCCTGTCGCTGCTGTGCAGAATTCGCCAAGGCAAAATTGCATATGGTGCAGACGTGACAGACGATAGAGCGAAGCAAAACACGGCAAGAACAAGAAAACCAACCAACAAAAAAAAGGGTTCAATGAAAATCCCCAGTAACATAGCAGAGCCGGACAAGCTGCTGCAGGGCCAGGAGGGAGGTAAGATGACAGCCAACAAAACCAAGCAACCATCCAACAAACAGCAGCATGCATTTGCTTGGGCAAAACAAATACAAAGTTGAAAAACGGCCGAGCAGAGTTATGCACAACATACAACTTCAACCACAACGAACGAACGACGGATGACGACGGCGACATGCTACAAGAACAATAACAACGAGAAGAATACAAAAACAAAAAAAATAGCAATACTCACATAAAATTCTCTATTGCAGGCGAAACAAAAACACACATCCACACTCGCATACACCCGCGCCGCACTCTTGCACAAACATGCACACGGCACACACACACACACACACGACTCGCACACAATTGCACTTATGTTTTTGCGCTGCTCCTCCATTACAATACAACAATTTCCTAGGTCGTTAAACTTATGGTTGCCAGGTTGTGTGGTTGTGGATGGAGAAGAATTTTTTGATTGCAGGATTGTTTGGTTGGCTGGCTGACTGGGTTCCTTTGGTTGTTTTCAACATTGTTGTTGTTGGTTTTTTTGCAT